TATGGAAGCAGAGGCATCTGCGGGGCTGGGGGGAAGCAGGGGCAAATGACAAAAGCAGCCTTACATCATTGCAAGACAATACGAGCTTTGGTGCTTTTGTATGTGAGTCATAACAACTTATCTATGTACGAAAGGGGCAGAGCTTGCATCACAGCAGCATAACGCTTTTATTATTTTGATGCAACCAGGGCATTGACTGTAGCAATTGCATTTCATGTCTGAATCTGCTATCACTAACTGGCAAGGGGGCTGCTGCAACTCTAGCTGCACGCAACTGGACGGCACCAGACTGAAAGACTAGCTAGGGCTACCATTTCTGGGCTGCAGGAATCCAGATAACTGCTTGGCTGAAGTCATCTTTTGTAACAACAGAATTTTAGATTGGTGCATGTGAACCTACTATTGCAAGTATAAAAAGGCAAAAGGTAGAGACAAAGTGGACTAAATTAAATACTTTTTAACATTTGGTTTGCTCTAACTTATTGCCTAAATTTGGTAAGGTTTGTGCTTTATAGGATTGGGGTCAGAATGAGCAGAATATACTGGGAATGTATGTGATTTTACCAGCTCTGGGTTGTCCCTTTAAATCAACCCCTTAACAACCATATTATGAAAGCAAGTTTGAGGGGGCTGACACTTTAAAGGTCCCAACAGTTTAAAATGAGATGGAAAGCATGGAATGTGAGGAATGAAGGCTCAGTTTATCACACACTGTGCAACCCTGCCTACTGCTACTTTTAAACAGTGTTATGCTAAAGATACTAATTTTAATTATGGTTGATGTACAAACTATGAATTTATAATAACATTTAAAGACTAATCAAATATTTCAGTCTTCTGTCAATAATTTTAGCTTATATCTCTGTATAAATCACCAAGCTTCTAATTGTTACATTAAATACAAAAATAAATTGGATAGAAGGAGCTGATGTCTACCACCTCTACCAGAACCACACAGTGTGACATGGTGTTTGCAAAATTCTGTTTTCTTTCAAAATATGTATCTTTAAAAAGAGAGTAGAAAGAAAGGGTTCCACTGACTGAATTTCATTTACATTTTCCCATTATTTAGTTTGCACTGGTAGAGTGGTTGTCAGTTATTTCTGAATTATAGGGAATTAGAATATAAAACTGGCTGCTTCCATACTAGCCATCTTTTTTTAGAACTGGTACCATTCAGTCTAGTACTTCTGAAAATCCAGACTATGCTATACTGTAGTCAAATAGCTGTATCTAATACCGTATTATCTATTATTTTCCCATCTTTTTTTAAAAGCCATTTCTTTATTTAGAACATGTATTTAGGAAATGTATGTTCATGATGCAACTAGGAATACAGGGGGAGTTGCCTAACATTTCATCTTGCCTGGAACATAGGAAACCCTTTCAAAGAGGTTAGTGTTCCACAAAAAACATGAGAGACAAAAAATAAGAATAAACAGCATCATGGGAAACAATGAAAATAAATGGATAACAATAGTAATATCAGCAGAAAAGGCAAAGGCAAAAAAAAGTAATTTAAAAGACTTTCTATTATTCTAATGTTATTAATATTAATTAATTGATAATTTATAAATAATTTACAATAATTAATAATTAATGTTATCCTAATATGACAATATTTCTAGGGCTCATGTGACTTCAAGGAGCATTTACAAAGTTGGATTAGCGGACTTCTGGGGGAAGTATGGTGAACTGTGAAAGCGGAGTTGGCAAACTGTGGCAAAGACCAAGGAACCAGTGAGTAGACCAGTTCCTTGAAACCTCTTGATAAGGCAAGAATGGAAGATTGTTTCCATGTGCTCCAGATGGCTGTTCCTTGTGAGGAGACTGCAGGTCAGTTGTCTTTCATGGTTTTGGGTGCCAGGAGACAACAGGATCAACCATCTTGCTCGCAACAGCAGTGGAGCCTTTTAAAAGACACTAATGTGATGGACTGTATCTATGAAGAGGAGGGTGATGTGGTGGATAGCAACAGACAGCAAGGCTATCAGGAAGGAGGGGA